GCAAGACCAGAAACCATTAGAGCGAATGTAATTAGTTTCAATAGTAGAGCTAACACGTCCGACTAGTCGAAACGTTGTGCATAAATTTGTGAATGTATCTTCGTAACTATTGAAAAATGTGCAGACACTTTTGGCAAAGTCAACATCGAGATGGTTGCACAATTGGTAATCATTATCGGTCGGTAATTCCACAGCACGTGAAACTGCATAACAGCACTCAATTCGTTTAATATGTAACACTGTATTAACAATGGTGAATACATACGACGCGTCCGTGACAAAGAAAGACATTAGAAAATAGAAACGCATTGCTTAATTTAGAAATTGAAACAGCTGAGAGAGAACAGAGAACTACTTTCGCAGATCAAGTATTCATGGAATTCGAACTACGTTACTACGTATTGAAAAAAATATTGAGAAGAACGAAAATTGAAACGCTTCACTTTACCAATTACGGTAGCACGTGTGATTCATAATATTATCAGATATCTCACATAAATGTAATCGTGTCACGTCAATGGATCGTACAAATCAGATAGCAGTAGAAACAATTATAGGGAATTTTTAGCTATCAACCACGATTAGGAATGACACGTGCAGCGTGACGTACAGTCTGTTAGTATATCAAGCATGTAAATTCTGCCAAAGGTTCTTCGATCCTTATCAACCACGAGGGACAAATCAACGCGACAGTACCATTTCTGTCGAACAGAAAACGTAATGTCACGATATTACGGCATGAAACGCATGAAGTTACGAGCTATTGTTTAAGCTGGAGCGACGTGTCTCGCCGCGTACGATACAACGTGACTCAACCGAACATTTATCGGTTCGTCCACGCAACGATTAGCGTATCACAGTTGATTTTGACTAGTGCAAGTGATGGAAATAGATGGAAATAGATATCGCGCCGAATAAAAAAAAAAGAAAAAAATCTTCCAACTTTCGAAGCTTAATTTTCGACAATTTCGAGGCAAATGAATACTATCGAGGCTGTCAAAGAAGGTTAGTTAGGAGGGTTGGAGAAAAGTCAATCGTTCCCCAAGACAGTTTACTTTCTTTCGATCAGCTTAGTACGCGACTCGGAACGAAATGAAACGAACTTAAACGCGAAAAACTCCCAGTCTTTTTAACTCAACGACCCCATAACAAGTGGAATCGCTCGATAACCATGCTCGACAGACACCATGCGGTTCTCTCTCTCTCTCTCTCTCTCTCTCT